AGAAGGCAGCAAAGAGGCAAAGAGGAGACGACCGCCATTTTGACGCAAAGCTGTCGGCACGGAGCACTGTTGAGGCTACGCGTCGTCTGCTACGGGCTTATTTCTTTTTTTTTTGCCTGAATAAAAGTTTGCATTCAAACATGGAGGAACTTTCTTTACTTTTTTAAGCCACCGAGGAATAACACTATATCATTTTATTGCCAGAGCCTGTTAAATAAAAGGAAAGAGCCGAAATTTGGATATCGATCCCATGCCGGGCTAATGAATGAAAATGGCGGCCCTCCCCGCTCATCTGGGAGCAGCCTAGAGTTCACGCGCATGCGCTCACGCCTCTCGCTCTGTGCCGCGGGCTGATTAGCTCACTCGGAAGGGAGACGTTACGGCAGCGAAATCATAGACTGCCAGACACTCCCCATATATAGCTCTGCTGCAATGGAAAAATTTTCCTACCCTCGTGCTCAGCGAGTGTCGACTGGGGATACAACTCTAGTTCATACATTCGCTGAACATGAGGGTAGAGTGTACCAGCAGAGGGCAGGTGTCTGGATAGAAAGAGTTTAGTTGGCGCACCAAGAGGCTAACGAATAAAAATGGGTACTACTCTGAGCAAAATGCAAAAAAAGCGTGGATCTCGGCTTCACACTAACAGCGGCACACAGTATCTATTTTACTGACAAAGCGGTACTAAATCATTATTTTCAGCTACCTAATCAAACTAAATATTCTTCCCGGCTTGCGTTTTAGGAAAATCTCTAAATTTACAAGAACTATTAAGACAACAGCTAAAACAATACAATGGTAAAACCAACAATCGAATTCACCTGCTCTCCAGTAGCACGACATCTATGGCAGGCAGACCTGCAGAATGAGTCAGCAGTTTAAAAAACAGAGTATGTCCTATGTATATTTTTTTTTCATGCTGCAACGCAAGCGCTGGAAGGAGGTTTCACGACATTAACGAAATTTCTTGCAATCAGTTGAGAACAAGTTAGAGCAGTGAACTTGTCCTTGCCCCTGGCATAACGTTTTAGTGTTGCCCATGGAAACTCGCATAAATTTGTAAATAAAAACAAAAAAAAACTAACCTTCATAAAAAAATCTAACTTTGGCAAAGAAAAGTTACCTTGAACAAAATATGTGCGATACAGTTGTAAGAGCGTCCATTTGTGTGCTTAACCAATTTTGAGGCAAATCGGCGACAATGAAAACACGATGTTTAAGTACAATTAAGGGAAAGACAGAAAGGATGCATACCTACAACAACAAAAATTTAGAACGACCACGGGGAGGAAACTCTGGTGAGGCTCTCGGAGCGACTCCCTGCAATGGGCCTGCGCAGACCAGAGAACAAGGTCGGTCAGAGCCTGCAGCCATAAGGTGCTTCATACCATGAAGTTACAGAAGCGGGTGCAATTGGAAGCGAAGTGCATTTCATTTCTCTGCAGAAGGAAGTTTAATAGCTAGTGTGCATTCATAAGGTGATGCAGTCATGAATGCACAGATTTTTCAATGCAGCACTATATCACCAACTTGTTAACCATGCCGGGCAACACTAAAAGCCGAGAGCATTATTCCAAACTATCTCAGCTTAAAGTTAACCACGACAGGAGCTTCAAGCCATCCTTGCAAATTCAGTGCACAAAGCAAGCCATGTGACCTTCAAGTTGGACGCCATGGTACGTCGAGCTTATAATCATGTGTCATGCTGTTTTTGCTACAATGGCTTGTAGTGTCAAAAGTGGTCCAGCCTAAAGAGACGCAAAGTATAGACGTTTGTGAGTGGGGCCCTCACCTAGTCTGCAGCTACATTGCGAAATAGGACGTTCCAACCAGGACGTTTGCTGCCTGTAACCACACGTCCAGCTTGTGCCGAGCGATTGTTCGAGCTGAGTACATGTCCCCGACAGTGCCATTATTTGACAAGCATTTTAAGAACGTTAAACATAACTGACTTACAGAAAGACTCCACCTACACGACTAATGACTTGGGATACCTAACTGAATACTGATATATCAACTAAATGCAAAACAATTACCTGGCAGGCATTAAATTTTTCAAGAGGCTGGGTCGACTCCGCATTAAGTTGAACGAGTCGATTCGTAATAGGACAATACAAACAAGAATATGCCTTAGAATTCCTTTTGCACCCCCAAAATGATGTGTTTTGGAAGGTAAGGTACACAATGTTGATTCAGAAAGTGCCTCAGCTGTACAAATGCATATGCAATAAGGGCACTCGCCAAGGCTATTCTACTCAGCTCTGTGCAGGTTAAGCTGTTAGAGTATAGAAGTACACGCTCACTGACACCATGAGAAAGGCTGACTGGGAGAAGTCTCCGTTGTTCGACCCCCAGCCCGTCTGCTACCTTCGATGACGTTTCAGCGCCTGATGAGTCTGGAGTGAGCACATCTGTCCAAAGCGGGGTGAAAAGCACAAGCACGTGCTCGAGGATGCCCTACCCTTCTCTTTTTGTCATCGGCTATACTACATATTTTTAGTAAGACATATTTTTAAGTGAGAAAAAGTATTGCAAATATGCAGTCCACCTTAAAGATAACAACAGTTGCCATTCACCTTTTTCCAAATAAGTGCTCCCACCTATCGGAACATCTACACATGTGGTGCGTGAGTGGGTTCAGGACTGAGAGGCTAGAAAACGAAGCGCTCACAAGGCTTGTCTGGCCTAGAGCACTATATAGCTCCTTCGGAGCAGAGTAGCGTAAAGCCCCTTGATAAAGGTGCTTTTACAAGTACCGCCAACCATTGTTGTGGAATTGCGCAAGACACGTGCCACGAGCGGGTGCTCCGCCGCCATTCGCTTCCAAGGGCCGCTTATTTCAGTGCTGCGCCGCCATTTGCTTCCAAGGGCCGCTCGAGACCTGGGCCACGTGCTCTCGCGCATTTAGCACTACTTGCAAAAACAAACGAAAACATATCGAGGGGCTTTAGAGTAGTGCAATCTAGAACGCCGCCTCTCGGCGACTAGGGGCGAACGCCCGAGGGTTCCAACTGCGGTCACAAATGCATGGGGAACGGCAGAAAATCATTTTTTCTTCAATATATTGAGGATGTACGGAACGCCAATAGTCTTTTACATAATAAAGAAACATTCTACGATAATGTGCGCTAAATTGTGTGCCACGTAAATATGTATTTTTTTTTAATTGCCTGAGCGGCATCATGCAGCAGACGACGCGACGCAGTGGAGGACGATCACTCCGAAGAAGCAACATTGGTTCATCGGCCGCTCCGGCCTCTCCAGTTCCAGCTGTTCAGGCTCGGACGCCGAATATTGTAGATATTATTTTTAATCAAGTAAACTGCAAGTGCGCGAAAGTATCAAAGACTCCGCCCCGGCTTAGTAATGTACAATTGACTGGAAATATTTGAAATGTTATAGAGTTTCCGGAATGCTTGTATTTCGTTGGTGTTTGTTAACTAATCGTTCGATTTTCGACAGACGTTCTACTGGTACGTAGATTTTCGCTCCGGTTGCCGCTCGAAACGTAAATACACAGCTGGAGTTCCGTTACGCTTGTGTAAGCTATTCGGCGAGCGGCGTGAAGTGCTCAGAGCACTGGCGGCTCAACGGCAAGCGTTCGTAGGCTACGAACGCTTGAGCAGCACTTGTAGATCTTCGATCGTGCGCTGTGTGCCATACCTTTGGTACCGCTTCGCTGTTCTTAGAGATCCGAGTAAAGACTGACAGCTAAAGCATAACGGAAGGCGACGAGCACACTGGGCGTTTCACGCCCTGCGTGTTTTGACCTGTCAGTGAGCATACTTGACTTATATTACAAGGCTACAAGCGCGCGCTGCGCGCTTTTCTTCTAAACCTGTACCTTTAGCAGAAATGCCCGCTTCACAAAAGCTACTTAGCACAATTAGCGTGCCGCATAACTATGAACCTCACAATTTATTCTAATACAAAAAAGGGGGGGGAGGATATTAAGATAGCGCGATGTTTTCAGCCATTCAAACGACACGACCTTTGTTTACTCTACACTGTAGGTTAACTGCTGCGCACAACTGCTGGCGAGGGGTCAACAACAGCACGTACTGCTACGGTGCTCATCCAGACCAAAACGGGCAAGGGCGCAGATTCTAACTCGTAAAACCTATAGGATGTGGGTGCATTTTTAGGAGAGAAAGAAGGAATTTGCAAACGCTGATAAATGACTAAAATCGATTAGGCACAGAAGACGTCGAAAAACCTTACGCTCATAGATTGTCCCGTGATATTTGTTTCCATAACCATAAGTGTGAGATTTTTCTTTTGAAGCTGTTCGCTACGGACTCATTTATTATGAAGTGTTCAGTATAAACGAGGCTTCAATAAAACGGTTCAGCAATGTGTGCAAGTTTAATGGGTGAAAGTTGCTTACAACTTACTGCCGACTTTGGCCCGCTAAAGAACAGCATTTTATGTCTGCATAAGTCTATCTGATGTCTTTTACACTTTCGTGCATTCCGATGGACTTACTTCCACACTTTGCACTTCGCCGCAGAGAATTAATACTGTCATTAATCTTACGCAGAGCTATCCTCAGCCGCATCATGAAGAACTGTTCTGTCAGTTGCTGGGGGACTTGATGGTGGCATGAAAGGATCGGAGAAACGTCTTGCTTCCATAAGGCCTCTTCTAATTCCAGAAGAGTACATCGTGATGTCGTCAGGTTTTCCTCGTTGCTCTTGAAGAAGTGCTCTGCCTTCTCAAGAAGTTTGAAGCATTCACTGGACACCAGAAAAAGAGGGTTTGTCTCATCTTCCTTCCTGTAAGATTTCAAGTTGGTTAACTCTGAAAATTCTGTGTTTGCTTTGTCTTGCAGGAATGCTCGGCACATTGTGCACTTTATCTTGTGCTTTTTTGATGTGCTTCTAGCGATGTATCCTGCTAAGTAGTGCAAGGCTTGCTTCTCTTCCTTTGAAAGCACCTCTATGATGCATGGGGGAAGCTCAGCTTCATCTTGGCTTTCATTTTTGATTTCATCCTTGTCATCTGGATTTGCCGTGCTTAAGAAGCTGAGCAGATGCTGGGCAGGGTCAATGTCGTAGTTGCTCGTTGAACAATCACTAAAAAATTGACTGATAGTAATAAGCCGTAGACATGTCTTGAACTCCAGGGCGCGGGGAATGGGATTTTTTCTGCGGATTACGCTGAACAGATTTTCAAGGCAGTCTTGGGTTGTGCGACTCATAAAGACGATATTAAAGCCTCTTTCTTTTAAGAGCATGTCCTGGAGCCTTAGTGCCGACTGCGTGGTAATCATCATTCCTGCCTGGCAAGGCTTGAAACTCTTCCTCTGGCCCTCTTTTCTGATACAAAGTCTCGAAAAGGTGTCGGACACGTCAGCCAGGAATGTCACGGCCTCCTCGTGCTTAATAGGATTGGCTTCGCTCATCGCAAGTTTAAATGAGCGAGAGGTCATCAGTGAAAACCATTTGTGCATGAGTTCCAAGAACCAGGGAGTTGTTAAAGCCTCTTCTGCCATTTTTCCCTGTAGAACGAGGAGCTTGATCGCAGCTCCGACAGCATGATTGAGCAAAGCATGAGCCGACCGTACATCCATTTTATCAAAGTGGGAGGGGTTCAGATGTGTTTCAACTTAGGCACCAGTTTCATGTCATGCTTGCTGTCGATTGCCACTAGCTCCTCGACATGCTTCAGAGAAACCTGAAAAGCCAAGAGTTTACGTCATCACCGGACAGCTTCCGAACTGGCATTTTCACCTGTTGGATCATCTCGAAATTATGATTACTATCCTCCTTATAGCACTAGGATAGGGCCAGCTGAACTTAGATGAAAACGTGAAAAGTTCAGCTGACTTTATCCTAGTACTGTGTACCGGCTAGCTCAACTTAATCCCATTACTCCGTATAGGTTGCATCACATTACGAATTAATTGCAAGAGACCAGGAACATAAATTATGAGAAGGATGATGACAGGGTGATTTAAGCTTTTAAATGTCATACTCCAGGGAAGTTAATTATTTTTCTTTCATCCCCTCTAGGATCGCAGGTCTGTTCCCACAGTCACGTTAATTCAGTCGTTCGAAAAGTTAGGCCTTTGTTTTTTCACTATCTACATCATTTCCTTTTAGCGTAAAGTATTGAATGCCGCGCCCCTACAGGACCTTTCGTGTCTGGGTACGCCATCGCCTCCCCCCCTATATACCCCCCCTTTCTGCGCACCCCCTCCCCCCCTTTTCCCAGGACCCTTCGTGTCCTCGTCCCCCCCCCCCCTCCTCCCCTCTGCCATCCCCTCATCCCCGCTTCAAGTGTATTGCTTCGCACTCATTCAGTTCTTCCATTAAGAATGTGCCACATTTTTTACCATTGTCAAACTCTGTTCTTTCCTGTCTTCATTGCTTAGGCTGTCATTGCAATTGTTTGGGTTGGTCAATTAACATTTACGCTGCCAGTTGCAGAGGTATCTTGTCATGTCCTTTACTTTCCTTAATTTATTCTTGCAAAATTGTCAGCACTTTACTCATCGGGTAGGACAACTTAAATGTTTACCTCACTTGTAGGTCGGCATATTTGTCAAATGGATATGGAAACACATCTAACTTGAACAAGCATATAATACCCTGTTGGAAGGTAGCCCATGCTTCTGTACAACATCTCTTGGGAGGACAATCTCTTGGCCTTTCACAAGGTGTCCTCGAATGTTTTTAAGAAGGTGGGGGGCATCCGCTAGAAAGAAAAGTTGCCTGTTCGTGTCCCCAGCACAAGGATGTCTGCAGGACACTGCTGCTGGGACTGAGCGTGATGCATGAACACCACAAAGGCGCCAAATGCCTTGGTTACAAGGGCCCATATCTGATATGACGGCATCAACCACCATCTGTAGACCTTCACACTTCTTGATGATGTTGAACAAGATGTCCTTAACTTCTTTGGGGTCGAAGGAATTACCTAAATGAAGATATATTTTATGGTCCAAACGAGGTGTTCTCAGACTGGTCTATCTCAATAGGCATATCTTGATTGATAGCCAATGAGCTTCTCCCACTCTCGCCATTGCTGCAGTAGTGGTGAATGAGCTCATAAACTTTGTAAACAACGATCCATGCCCCTGGGTTTGTAGGAACCCAGCTTGAGAACCGATGGTGTAACCAACTACATTTTATCCATTTATGGCAGACAATCTGCCACAGATACTATTAAGTGATGCTTCACAAGATCTTGCCTGTGAAGTGATAGGCGACGACCTGTTTCCACCTTGATGCCATCCCTGCCAACATAAACACTAGGGCATGTGTAGCATGTGGCGGAGGGATTTCTTTAGCTGATGCAGCCCCAGGCTGCACGCCCAAGTCAGGAAGATTTTGTTCTCTTTGGGGCGACACAGTCCCAGGCTGCACGCTGAAGTCAGGAAGATTCTGTTCTCTTTGGGGCGACACAGTCCCAGGCTGCACATGGCATCCAGCAAGAACCTGTTCCATTTGCGGTGACTGAGTACCAGTTTGCTCTTGGCATTCACTAATGATTTGTTCTGGTTCAGGTGATGCAGCCCCAGGCTGTGCAGCATGGGCTTTAGGAGTCCGTTTCCTTTTAGGTGGCAGAGGCGGTGGTTTCACAGTGCGGGCACCAAGAATCTGTTTTGATGCTGGATCTATGTCATATCCTGCAGGAAAGCGGTATTGTACAACCAGTCAGATTTGAATTAGCTAGCTGAAGCATCTGATGATCACTTCAATTCACACCGCAAACTGCAGCACTTGCTGCTGATTTCTTGGGAAAAGAAGAGTGTAAATACTGGTTTTTTTAGTTTCTCTGAAGAATGTGAAAGAGCAGAGACAGGTATTTATTAAAGTGTGTCATATTGCTATTACGCTGTTCACCTTCTGTTATTGAGCAAATTCAACATTACGTTATTAATTTTTGTTGGTACACATATATCATTTTACTTTTTACCTGGTGTAATCTGCATTTCATCCATAAGCAGAGCTGCATGTCGCTCCTGTGGAAGCATCCTTGCAGCTTTCTCGCCTAATGCAGGAAACAGTTCTTCCAAAATCCCTGAAACAGTTAGTTGGGCACATTTTTACTATACTCTAGGACAACTTTCTGTGGCATTTCGTAGGAAAGGAGAGGTGCACATGCACAACTTGAGTTACCATTCATGGTATGCTCCCACATACCTTGAACTGCGTTGCCACAGAAAGTTGTCTCCTAGTTGTGCCTTAAGTGTGTGCTCTAAAATACCATGTTTTTGTGATGACGACGTTACCTGGTAGGTACTTGTGTTTTTCTATTCGTGACTGCAGGGTGCGTTGGCTTGGAAATGGCACCAAGTTCTCTCTTACGTAGTTGTAGCCATGGCTTCCACAAGCCAGGCGAGCCCTAAGGGCAGTCTGTATGGTCAACTCTGACCATTTTGAACCTCTCATGTTACCTTTTGAGAGGCATTTGATCTAGAAAAATAAGAACCATCCAGTTTTTACAATACCGAAAAATTGTTTATTGGTACAGTTACCACAAGCTTTCAACATACAGGTACAGTCTTGTCCTCAATATGAAGGTGAACAAAGTAACCTCTTCAATCCCCTCTACCAGCACGTCAAATTCGTGCCTATGGGAATGAAAGCGAGAGTATGCACATGCGCAGAGAAAAGAAACTCGCCGTAGCCTTCATTAATGTTGGCACGACCTTGACACGCTGGTAATGGCGATCGAATGATGCAGCTTGTTCACCCTCATGTTGAGGACAGTGCAGTAGATACAACATGATCAGCTACAAGTGCATGGTGGTGAAAGTTAATCATAGGAAGTTCTGTCTACTACTGTTATGGATTTTCTCCCAATGTCTCACCACTAATATCACCCTTACACATATCTGTACATCTATTATGCAAGCATTAACTTGGGGTACTTTTTACCTGGTCCTCATTGATATGTTTGGCTTTTTTAATGCTGTCCAGCTCTTTTTCAAGTTTGTGCAGCCTTTTCTGAGCAGTCTTTAATTGAAGTCTTAAATTTTTCACCAGGTCATGGGGTTCCTGTAATAGAATATAGCAGACTGAATTTTGTGAAAGCTGCATATCCAGTTCATTAGAGTGAAGAGAAATATTTTCTCTTCACTCGAATACAGATGTGTCCTCATATACTTAGATTGTTCCCTTTCAGAAGCCTCGGTAAGGTGACAGAAGCGGCCTTTGTGCAATTACTGAGAATACACTTTATGACTAGGGTTCTGTGTTTTCATTATATACTGGTAAACACTGGCAAGTAACGTTCGAAATGGTTTTCTTAAAATCGGGGAAAACCGAAAACCACGGAATTAAAGTTGTCCTTAAATAACAAAAAAACCAAGTTTAAGTACAACGAAAAATAATATTACACCAACAGCTGCAGCACCACAGAAGCTTTTACCATAAAGGTCTTTGGTGCCGTGTCTAATTATGTTATCTACAGCTTTATTCACTGCCATCTTGGAGCGCAAACCACGCTGAAATGTCTACAGGGTTGCTTTTTTTTCTTCAGAAATGATTTATATCTGCATAATTTTGCAATAAAGTTGTGTGACGCTTATTAACTGTGCTTGGCTTTCTAGAAACACAAGCGATGTACATTCATCCTCGAGACAAATAAACCCTAATTTCTCCTGACAAAAAGCACGCATAAAAAAGCACCATTTGGGGAAAAATAATAAAATTGAAAACGTGGAACCCTACTTATGACTAGTGGAAACTTTTGGTAGTATTTTTTAATGTGCATGCATTGTTGTTAATGCATGCTGGTGATGTTGACCACCCAGGCAGCACAAAAATATTGGACCAATAACGGACAAATATCGGTCAAAGTTTTAGGAAATAACGGTCCAATAATGATTTGCACCCCGGCTCCAGATCGGTCCAATAACTTGAACCGATCACGGGGAAAGTTTTGTGACCGATATCGCCAACCGTTTTGTGACCGATGTCGTCAACCGTTTTTCGGCCGTCTTTCGAAACCGTTTTACAGCCGTCTTTCAAAATGTTGTGTGGCCGTTATCGTTGAACCATTTTGGGATTTAAATGTCTTCTTGAAATACGTAAGAATGCGAATGACGTACTACGACATCAAATGTGAAACTCTTTATTTTCAATGGAAACGGATGCTTCATTTTAGTGGGAATTGGAGATGTCTGACCATCTTCGACTTGGACAAGGGGTATGGGAGCACTGCAAAAAAATTTCACTCAATTTTATGGGTAAAAGTTACGGGTTTTATAGTGCCAGCATGGTTTCCCGTAATATAGAAACCGAACAGTCTGTTAAAAACAAGGCATATAATTTTGTAAAATGACGGAACGTCTATATTCCACTTAATAGACAGTTATCCGTTTTCCCATTTTCTTGGTAAAAGTTGCTGGTTTTATATTGCCGGCAAGATTTCCCGTAATCTAGAAACTGGACAGTCTGTAAAAACAAGGCACATAATTTCGTGAAATGACGGAATGTCTGTAGCTCACCACGGAGGGCTATCCGTAGGAATTATGAAAGCTGTCGGCACTAAATAATGAAGCACTATACCTTTCGGCCATAGATAAGGCCAAAGTTACGAGCCATCCGTACCACCCGCACCTCCGACACATCAGGCGACTCCCCTGGAAGGGCTATACCTTTGCCAGGGGTGTCACCTGACGTATCGGAGCTGCAGGATTGGTGCGGATGGCTCGTAGCTATAGGCTTCAAGAAGACAGAAAGGTCTAGTGCTCCGTTATTTAGTGCAAACAGCTTCCATGTTCAAGCAAGCCGAAGTCACATGAAACTTTTGAGGTATGGATTGGTATGGAGAGTTCATGGGCTCCGTCATTCAATATACTAACTTGTATAATTTTTTATCCTTAAACAAAACAAAAAGAGTTCAACAAGAAAAAGAGCACACAACCTCTACTACTCATTGCCGGGATTTTGTTTGTGTGAGATCAGCTGTTCGTAGAGATGACAGCTGAACAAACAAACCAATTAAGAAGTTTTGCCACAATGCCTTTATTGGAAAAAGGCATGCCTTGCTTTAAGTTGGGAGAAATTTTACATTACAGTTGTCCTTGCGCTCGCCATCTAGATGCCCCTCCATGCTTGTGCTTATAGTTGTCGTTCAATTGGAGACCTTTTCGATATCTTCATGGTGCATATAAGAGCAGCCTGAAATAAAGAGCAGAAGAGGATTCGAAATCAATACACAATCACAACAAGCTGTATATGACATACATGATTAACATCAGCATGCAATGTGTTTACTACCTAGCCCAGCTCCCCACCTTTCTACTGCACATGATATATAAAACAAACCTCCCATAAATTGAACCAAAGTAAAAATTTGCATTGATATGCATACCCAACACAAGAAGTGCTTGAGAAATAATACTAGCAAATTAAAATTTACATAACCATTCAGTGATATTGTCACGGGTGGTGACCAATAAACAAGAAATGAACAGGAAGAAATAAACGTTTAATGTGGCGAACTTGTGCCAAAAATAAAAGAGTACAAGAGATAATAACAAAGCGTCGCGGGCGTCGAAGTCGGCGAAACCGCAAGATCGAGCGCTGGGGCGAGACTCACTCGACAAGGCCGCGAGCGGCATCTTATCTAGAGTAGGTCACTATCTCGAAGATTCGGCGGAGAAGGTTCGAGCGTAGCGCGCTCGGGGCGAGAATGAACACGCACTTTCTAGAACAACATAACCGGGGATAAACGATAGACGTTATGTCCGGAGCAAGAATAAACGAGAAAGTTCTATAAGTCCGTGACCCCTGCGCGCGGCATTACTCCCCCCTTTAAGAGTGCATCGCCCCGATGCAACACAAAACAAAGCACATAAAAAGAACGGCAAACTAAAGAGTCATTTGAAACACATAAGATCCACAGTCCTATCGAGCGTAGTACGGCTTCAGGCGCACGACGTGGACGACCTCAGGTCGTGGTGCGCGGCGTGACGATGTTCGTGTTCCGTCGGGCATCACCTCGTAGTTCAGATCCCCGAGTCGACGAAGCACTTTGTAGGGTCCAAAGTAGCGCTTTAGGAGTTTCTCGCTGAGACCACGGCGACGAATGGGAGTCCAGACCCAAACCCTGTCTCCGGGCTGGAAGTGGACGTCCCGACGGCGAAGGTTGTAGCGGCCAGTGTCGACGCGTTGTTGGGCTTTAATACGGAGTCTGGCGAGCTGACGGACTTCTTCTGCCCTTTGGGCAACCACCTGGGCGTCGTCGCTTACGTCGACAGCCGGTTCATGGGGCAACATAGCGTCCAGCATTGTCGTTACCCTGCGCCCATGCACCAGTTGAAAGGGTGTCACTCCGGTGGTCTCTTGTACGGCCGTGTTGTAGGCAAAGGTGACGTACGGCAGCACCTCGTCCCATGTCTTGTGCTCCACGTCGACGTACATGGAAATCATGTCGGCGATGGTCTTGTTGAGTCTTTCCGTGAGCCCGTTGGTCTGCGGGTGGTACGCCGTGGTGCGACGATGGCTGGTGTGGCTGAGACGCAGGATTTCTTGGGTCAGCTGTGCCATGAACGATGACCCTCGGTCTGTGATCAGGACTTCGGGGGCGCCATGCCGGAGGACGATGGACTCCATGAAAAACTTGGCGACTTCCACAGCAGTCCCTGAAGGGAGGGCTTTCGTTTCGGCGTACCGCGTGAGATAATCTGTGGCGACGATTATCCAGCGGTTTCCCGATGTTGACGGCGGAAAGGGGCCAAGTAGGTCCATTCCGATCTGCTGGAACGGTGCGGTCGGAGGAGCAATCGGCTGCAGGAGACCGGCCGGTTTCGTTGGCGGTTTCTTACGTCGCTGGCACTCGTAGCACGATCGGGTGTAGAGGTGGACGGCTTTGGGGAGCTTTGGCCAGTAATACTTTTCACGAATACGGGCCAGTGTTCGGCTGTAACCGAGGTGTCCCGACGTCGGGTCGTCGTGACATGCTTGAAAGATCTCCTCCCGAAGGTCGGTCGGGATTACCAGCAACCACGGTGTGCTGTTGTCGCCGAAGTTCTCTTTGTAGAGTACACCTTGTCGAATGGCGAAGGTCGGCAGTACTCGTGAGAAAACATGTGGCACGGTACCCCCACCCCCTTCCAGGTGCTCGATTAATGCGCGCAGCTCAGGATCGTCCCGTTGACGTCAAGCCATGTCGTCGGCGTTTACAGCTCCTAGGAAGCTCTCGTCGTCATTGTCGTCGCTGCAGCCGGAAGGGGTTTCGACGGGGGCTCTGGACAAGCAGTCGGCGTCGCTGTGCTTCCGGCCGGACTTGTAGACCACTGTCATGTTAAACTCTTGTAGTCGGAGGCTCCATCGAGCAAGACGTCCTGACGGGCCCTTCAGGTTAGCAAGCCAGCAGAGCGAATGGTGGTCCGTGACTACACGGAACGGGCTCCCGTACAAGTACGGGCGGAACTTCGTGATTGCCCAGACGACCGCAAGGCATTCTTTTTCAGTCGTGGAGTAATTTCGCTCCGCCTTGGACAATGTCCGACTTGCGTAGGCGATGACTCGCTCGGTGCCTTCTTGAACTTGAACCAGTTCCGCGCCAAGTCCTGCGTTACTTGCGTCCGTGTGAATCTCGGTTTCCGCATCTTGGTCGAAATGTCCAAGAACAGGAGGCGTCTGCAGTCGTCGCTTCAGCTCGTCGAATGCCTGCTGCTGCTCCTCGGCCCATTCGAACTTCTCGGCGTCCTTCGTGAGGTTTGTGAGCGGTGCGGAAATCCTTGCGAAATCTCGAACGAAGCGCCGATAGTAGCCACATAGCCCAAGGAACCTTCGCACGGCCTTCTTGTCTCTTGGCACTGGAAATGCTGCGACCGCGCGAGTCTTCTCTGGGTCTGGACGAATGCCTTCGTTACTAACCTCGTGACCTAAGAACTTCAGTTCGTCATAGGCGAACCGGCACTTTGACGGCTTGAGAGTGAGCCCGGCGGTCTGTATGGCATGGAGAACCGTGCGGAGTCGTCGCAAGTGCTCGTCGAAGTCAGCTGAAAATACTACGACGTCGTCCAGGTAGACGAGACAGCTCTGCCACTTCAGCCCTGCCAGTACGGTGTCCATGACACGCTGGAAAGTTGCTGGTGCCGTGCATAGTCCGAAGGACATCACCTTGAACTCGTACAGTCCATCCGGCGTGACAAAGGCTGTCTTCTCTCGGTCCCGTTCGTCGACCTCGATTTGCCAGTAGCCGCTCTTCAGGTCCATCGATGAAAAGTATCGAGAGTGGCGCAGCCGGTCTAGAGTGTCGTCGATGCGGGGCAGTGGGTAGACGTCTTTCTTCGTAACCGTGTTGAGCTGCCGGTAGTCCACGCAGAACCGAAGAGTTCCGTCCTTCTTCTTAACCAGCACGACTGGAGAGGCCCATGGACTGCTTGAAGGTTGGATTATGTCGTCATTCAGCATCTCTTGAACTTGCTGCTGGATCACCTCCCTTTCCTTAGCGGAGACTCTGTACGGTGATCGATGCACAGGGCGCGCGTCGTCCTCGGTAACGATGCGGTGCTTGGCAACCGCGGTCTGGCGCACCTTTGACGACGTCGCAAAGCAGTCGCGGTATTCGGCGAGGAGGTTAACAGCTGACGTCGTTTAGGGACCGGAAGCTTAGGGTCAATGTCGAGCTGCGCTGGCGACGTACTGTCTTGCTGGGACGGCGAGAATTCGTCAGTAATCGCGGTGATTTCGGCGGGGTTTCGGAGTTCCTCGACGTGGCCCACGGCTGCACCTTTCGTGAGGTGTTGCGTTTCGTTTCGGAAGTTCGTCACGAGGGCCACAGTCCGCCCATCCTGAAGTTCAGCTACTCCCCTTGCGACGCCTATGCCTCTTCCCAGGAGCAATTGGAGGTTTCCCTCGAGAAGAACTTCGCCATAGGAAGCTTCATCGATCCCGACAAGTACGAAAACACTCGACCGCGGTGGTAGGTTTACGTGGTTTGCGAGGACTCGGACCGTGGGTGACGTCGCTTGGGGTTCCTCCGATGGTGGAGCAGGTTTTCGTAGCGTCAGCCGGTTTGTTCCGAGGTCGATGACGGCGCCATACTCGCAGAGAAAGTCCATTCCGAGGATAACGTCCCTCGAACAGTCTTGCAGAATGACGAACCTGACAGGGCACGTTTCACCGTGGATCTCGACGCGAGCAGTGCATCTCCCGACTGGTGTGATGAGATGTCCTCCGGCGGTTCGTATTTGGGGTCCTTCCCACGGCGTCATGACTTTTCGAAGGCGGCGGGAGAGCCTCCCACTCAAGACTGAGTAGTCTGCTCCGGTGTCCACGAGTGCCGATGCGTCGTGGCCGTCAATGACGACGTTTAGGTTGTTGGACACCGTTGCAGGGGCGTCGTAGCGATGCGTGGCGTCGGGGGAGTGGGAGCGCTCCGTCGTTCTTGGAGGCTCTTTACGTCGGTCGTCTTCGGCAACTCCACCTCCAGGGGTTGCCGCGCCTAGTTTCCCCGGCGAGGAGCGAGGGGTGACAGGCTTTCACGTCGGGGTCGGTGCATCGGCGAAGCTGGACGTCGCGGCGATGGCGACCGGAACTCTCGGCGGGACGTAGTCTCGGGGGACTGGGGTCGTCGCAGGTACTCGTCGATCTCCCGAGGGCGTTCACCATACCGGGGGCGCGGGTCGTTTGGGTGGAACCCGCGCAGCCCGAGTCGTCGGTATGGGCATCGGCGGTACACATGGTCGGGTTCCCCGCAGTGGTAGCAGAGCGGGCGTCGGTCGGCCGTTCGCCACACGTCGGTCTTCCTCGACAAGGGTTGCTCCGGGCGGACGTCCTGGACTTGCCCTTCCTGGCGTCGAGGATACTGTGGCATCGGAGGGTCTCGTCGGGGTGGCGCCGTGGCCCGGCGGTTAGCTTGCGGCGGTCGTCGGGCCATGGCGGCGTAGCTCAAAGTCGGCTCCTCTGGCGTCGACATGTTGATCGGAACCTCAGGTTGGAAGGCCCGATGAACTTCATCTCGCACGACCTCGGCGAGCGACAGGGAGGACGGGCGATCCATAGCGGGGAGCATCTTGCGGATTTCTTCCCGGACGACTTCACAGATGATGTCACGGATGCCTGGGAGGTCGGTACCAAGGTTGTATCCGGATGTCGCCAGAGTAGTCACGCCAGGGTGTCGCTCGTAGTGCCTGGCGCGTGCTAGTAGGGCACGTTCCATACTCGTCGCCTTCGTGACGAACCCGTTTACAGTTGTCGGGGGATTGCGAATGAGACCTCCGAATATCTCGCTTTTCACACCCCTCATCAGGTGTCGCAGCTTCTTCTCCTCTGTAGCCTGAGGATCGGCGCGGGCGCTCAGGCGAAGAACATCCTCGACGAAGCCGGTGACACTCTCGTTGGGGCCCTGGGTTCTGGTTCGCAGTAGGTCCTCGGCTCTCTCTCGGCGGTGGTGGTTGCTGAACGTAGCCTTGAGATCGGTCTTGAACATGTTCCACGACGTCAAAGAGGACTCATGATTCTCGTACCAGTGCTTGGCGGTACCCTCAAGCGAAAAATAGACGTTGTTCAGGCGCTGCTCGTCGGTCCAGCAATTGTGGCGGGCAACGCGTTCATACTGGTCAATCCAGTCTTCGACGTCTTCGTATTGCTCGCCGTGGAATGGAGCAGCCGTACGCGGTACGACGGGCAGGTAAACGACGGCTGGAGCGGCCGGGGTCTCCGACTGGTTGGCCATCGTCGTCCTCCTTGTTTGCCTGGTCCTGGGTGGCAAGGGTCCTAACTCCGGGGGCAGGCCAAGGTTCCGGCGACTTAATCGGGTCTCGGTCTGGTCCTCGTTAGGTTCTTGGGGGCTTGTGTTCGGACTTGCACTCCGAGAACTCGGAGGGGAGCGCTGCACGGGCATGCGGTTACCCCGCACCTCCACCAAAATGTCACGGGTGGTGACCAATAAACAAGAAATGAACAGGAAGAAATAAACGTTTAATGTGGCGAACTTGTGCCAAAAATAAAAGAGTACAAGAGATAATAACAAAGCGTCGCGGGCGTCGAAGTCGGCGAAACCGCAAGATCGAGCGCTGGGGCGAGAATCACTCGACAAGGCCGCGAGCGGCGTCTTATCTAGAGTAGGTCACTATCTCGAAGATTCGGCGGAGAAGGTTCGAGCGTAGCGCGCTCGGGGCGAGAATGAACACGCACTTTCTAGAACAACATAAGCGGGGATAAACGATAGACGTTATGTCCGGAGCAAGAATAAACGAGAAAGTTCTATAAGTCCGTGACCCCTGCGCGCGGCAATATTAAGCACAATCAAGTGAGCCATATCTCCTTTAGAGTATACAGTAGGCTCGCGATAATTCAAACTCGGAGATTTAATACCTCTGGTTAAGTCAAACAAATTTCAAAACTTGGGCTGTCCCGCTACGTTTTCAATGTATTCATAAGCCGCTTAATTTGAACGACGTTTTCGTGTAATTCATACTTTTTGTCCTCGCGGCCCCGTTGAGCGCACTTCTTTCCGAGCACGGGTGCACTGCGGAGAAGCAGCACTTGTGAAGCTTGCCTTCACAGGCTTTGTTTTCCTGCGGTGCACCGGTGCTCAGTAAAAAGCACACTCTACAGGGCTAAAGCAGAGCAGAGCCGTACATATAGATCTTGGTATATGAAAGGAGCAAGCAGAGCCAAGGCCTGCATCAAACGCAGATAGAGGGTTCGACAATCTCTCTTGGCCAACCAGAAGCTGAAAATAATCCCCTACCTATGGTAGCGAGAAACGGTTTTGATAAGTGCCTAAGAGTTAATTGTAGTAACTCTCCATGGTTGAAAATATGGTGCACGCACTGTTTCGATTATGGTTATGCAAGTAGTGTAGGAAACTAATGTTCCGCTTGATTTCTGTTTCGCTCAAATGGAGTCTGACCGCTTCGACGCCTGGTGTACGGATTACGTCAATCGTTCAGCTGGTTGCGCACGTTTTTTATATTTTCTATATCTTCCACCGTGATTTTGCATGACCACGATCAAAACATCACTGCATCCCAGTCACCGAGAGTTACTCCGACGAGCTCATTAATTTGTTTCTCACAACCACTGCCAGGATATTATGCGCGGCTGCTAGTTGGCCACATACGAATTTGTGAAAATGCTCTGGAACACGCCCAGCCCACCTTAAGCGAAAGGCGCCTCCTTATTTGCCTTCTATACAACCAAATGAATGGTTAAACTATCTCTATATACGTCTCTGAAGCAGAGGACACATGAGCGGCAAAAACGGGCGTCGCGCGGCAGTTTTCATATCAATTTGCAAGGATGCTGTGATGTGGCGGCATGGCTTTATATCGCAGTGTTCACGCAAGTTGCTATAGAAACTGCAGCACAATGCCCGTTTCCATTACTCATGGGTCCCTGCTGAACAGTCCCGAATAGACAACTTTTTTTCAGGTTGAACAAACTTAATTTTGTTTTGAGGTGTCATGTGCTGTCTAAACAGTTCCTGATAAACAACATTTTTGAGGGTCGAATAAACTTGTGTCATAAATGTTACCAATGTTTCATGAATGGCATACCAGCTTCTGATTAATGGGCCTGTGCAGAGGAAATCATGAAATATCTGTTTTGTATGTGTAGCCATCCATATAGAAAATCATAATTTATCTTGCAACATATTTAGATGAACTTTGGATAATTTGAGCTTTTGATAATTCATGCAAAATTCGGGGCTTCCTGGAGTTTGAATTAATTAGTCTACTGTATGTCACATTCAAATTAATGGTCTAGCTTCTTGGGCTTAATTGTATCTGAACCTTTTCCTTTGGCAGTGCATTAAATGTAAAATAGTACAGCAATGTATAGGCTCTAGTTTGTGCACTGGCACAGGCTTGTGCAACTAAGTCAAACTAGCATTAAAGGGAGCTTGAAGCACTTTGTAAGAAATCTGAGTTAGAAGCAGACTTACATAGCATTTTGGCTCGTTAATTCAGTAATTGCACTAAACTTGGGCAAAAGTCAACGTAAACTGCATTTATTTTGAATATGTGCAGCAATTATAGCAGGGCATGCACTGAGCCTTTCTTCCACATGTAACCTGTCCGAAGCTTCGTGATATCATCGTTGGCATCCCCAAGTCAGCCTATTGCCAAGTAAGGGTTGTCGGACCCTGCTAATGACGTCACTTTTGGTAGTCTTTATCTCCGTTCTTTCGCTCTGCTTTGCTCGGTTTGCCGCAATGAGCGGGGCAACGCCGACATTTTAATTAACGACTACGACGCTGCTACTAGCAAGATTAACAGAAAACTTTGACTTGACTCGGGATCTCTTTGGCTGGGTCTTTGGTGGCTCAGGGACTGGGAAGCGCAGTTTGTCGATAAGCGTCCCAGCGTGTCCGTACTTGGCAACATGTGCCGCTTAGCATATCCAGTTCAATTCTAGCAGCCAAACACGGTATCCTGGCAACAGCAGTTAGACCAAACACAATTCAAAGGTAGTCTAGATTGTGTTTACCGTTTTTAAATGTCCAGGCACGCCTGTCAATTAGCCCATCCAGAGGCTTTCGGAGATGGTCACGAGAGCCAGCAGGTTGTCTTGGGCAGCTCACTGTCAGCCACTCTGTCCCTCTGTGCACAGTGCCACCTTCATGAGCTCCCACTGAAGAAAAGAAACAATCTGAAAATTGTAATGACTGCAATGAGAACCAATCAGAACATCCCAGCAGCAGATGCTACAGCATGGTGTCTGGAATGCACCTCTGCGTTCTAGCATTCTATACCACCCACTCATTAAAGGTGGTCTCTAAGCGACAGCATTAAATGACGCCACAGTAGCCGGCATGTCCTGCTGTCGGATGAGACAACCCTGGCGGTTGGTTGTACAACTTCTGGCAAAAAAATATGAGCTAAAGGCAAACGTCATTGCTCTCGCAACATCCAAAATCCCGTCTGCTAAAGCTTCTGTGGACTGTCAAGCTGAGGGATATTCTCTTCCCCGCAGCAGAAACTACCTCAATAGCCATGACGTTCACAGCTTGGTAAAAAAATCCCATGGAAAGTTCATTCAGGAGCAAATGGGTAGCTCTAGAGACAACCTGTCGCACTATGAAGCAGTTTCATAAATCTGCCATAAGCAGCACTGCCATAAGCAGCAGCACTTCATTTACAGTACAGAAGTTTGTGTTTTTCATACATTTCGAGATGAAATTGTATCTCTGGATTCTCCCAAGACTATAGTTTCCAAGCAGAGATTTACATTGGCAAGCTGGCTGAGTTCCTGAGTAGGAAGGTTTATGTGTCACACCACACGTGTCTTTTGCTGACATTCAGACAAAGGAAGGCTCAATATCCCTGATCGATGGTGATTAGGGTGGAAATCTTCAGGCTTTTGCAATCGCCAACTTCCTCAACATTACCATTTTTCCAGTTCCTAGACACCCTGCACGAGGTTGAGTTGGGTACCAATGGTCATTAACAACTGCATGGGTGACCTGCACACATATATTGTAACTACTGGGTGTATCAAGGAGTGGCCAGGCTCTTTAAATTGACCGGAAAAATTCGGTTTCTTAACCTATCGCGCTATGAATTGTGCAGCGTTGCCCACAGATGGTGCACTTTTTTGTAAAATTTGCAAAGAGCAAACTTACCTGAGGAAAAAGTAAAGAAAGAAAAAGGCTTAGCTCCTATGGAAATGCGGCGAAGGCAAAGGTTTTCAAACAATACGGCACCATTTCGCACGGGAGAAAAGAGATGGCACAAGCGGCCACAATGCCAACTGCGCCAACGAACGAGCATACGGCACCGAAAGCTGGCGTCTTTAGCAGAAAACCTTTTCAACTCAAAAGTAGAGTGCATTCCGCAGGCGGCGACAGTCGCAGAAACAAAAACAGGCGCGGTAACAACAAGGAACTGCAAAGCAGATGACATCGGTACTCCGAAAAAAACAGTCAAAATATCCCAACAAACCACTTTTCTAATCGATTATGTGCCCATTCAAAATGTTTTATCAGTAAGGATAATAAAATAATGCATTGGCAACGGATATCAGAAAAGCTCGTGCCACTTTTGAGCCGAAAAGATTGTCTGCTAAAGACGCCAGCTTTCGGCGCCGTATGCTCGTACGTTGGCGCAGTTGGCGTCGTGACCCCTTGCGCCATCTTTTGTCTCTCGAGTGAAACGGCGCCATATTGTTTGAAGACCTTTGGCTTTGCCGCATTTCCATAGGAACTAAGCCTTTTTCTTTCTTTATTTTTTCCTCAAATAAGATCGCTCTTTGCAAATTTTACAAAAAAATGCACCATCCCTGAGCAACGCTGCACAAAGTCGTAGTGCGATAGGTTAAGAAACCGAATTTTGCAATCGATTTAAAGATCCTGGCCGCTCCTTGATACACCCAATATACAACAGCCCAATTCATCCTACTGGTCAAAGTGTTGGCTTACGTCCAAAAAGATGGAAGTTTGGCAGGTACCTACAGTCGGTGACAGGTCAAGAATGAAGTGAAAGCTCCTCCCATCTCTTTCCCCTTTAGCAGAGCAAACGCTGGAAAGGAGGGCGCCTCCTCTCCAGGGTTCAGTCTGCTATAGTGGAAAAAGGTGGGAGCAGCTTCCACTTCCTTATTGACCTGTCACCGACTATAGAATGTGAGCAACCAATGTGGCTTTTATCTTATTCTGGGCTCGCTTTTGTTTTTGAATGTGTTTACCTGTGTGCCTGCATTTCTTGTTTTTTTTTGTACATATGCACGAGCGTATTTCTACCTTCACGAATGACTACATACCTCCCCTCTCCTCACCCCCCCTGCAATAATGCCTTCGGGCAGTGCAGGGTAACCCGAAAGTAAAGAGATGTGAATGTGCCTGCTGTGCTCGGCAATCCCAATTCAACTCCCTGAACTGCAATCCTCGCACAAAAGAGATGCACTCCAGCAACTGCGTGGTTGACATGCCAAAACCCAAACTCAAACCGAGACCAAAAGAAGTTCAGAACTACGTGGTGCGCTAACACAGAGCCATTTGCACCTGCCCCCCCCCCCCCTTAGCTTTCTTTTTATTGCCACAGAAAGTGGTGTACAAGAAAAGATGGGTTGCTCTTTTGTTCTAACTCAGAAGAGTAAATTGAAGGCTTTAGTAACAGTCAATGCTAACCAAACACTTTTCAAAATGCTTCTTTGTAAAAAAAAAAAAAAAAAAGGTCACGCTTTGTTTTTTTGTGTTTGCATAATTAACAAGCTCCGCAAATGCAGCTATTCGTAATTCCGTGCACAGACCAAGCAAGGGACCATGAACACTTACCAACTATCGTACCTACCAAGTGCTCAACTCCAGCTCTCTATGATTATCTCCAATTTAGAGTGGGCGTTTGTTCGGTATTTTACAGTTTGTAATGTTGTTTGTTTTGAAAATCAAAATGTGAGATAAATCCAGCAGGGCGCTGTGGAAACAGTGCAAGGGCCCTGTTTCACCTTTTTACAAGGCATCCTGTCTCCAATGGCAGTAGAGGAACGGGGGGAGAGCTGATGCGCCTGCAGGCCCTTGCCGTGTTGACAGCTGCCATCCGGACTGGCAGCTCATTGGCAGCTTCTAGTCACCTGCAGTTTTTTCGCCATCATACAGACTTCCTGCAACATCATGAATAAGACTCAGACTGACATTCTGGAACAAAAAAGAAACCAGAACTTGCTTCACGGATCAACAAAAGAACAAGTGCAACATGACGCTTCTCTTGTCGTCGACAGTGCAAAGACCATGACGACACCACGATTAAACTATACCAAATAAGAAAAATTAACTTCTGCATGAAGTAATTTTATCAAGAACAGTGTGCATGTGGAGCTTAGACACCTACCGGTGCCTTATAAGATCCCGGGAACTTCAAAACAAATTAAACACCACCTAGAAATAGCACAGCTCGCTTGATAGGCACATGCACAGCAATCAACAAGCCTTTTGACGTGTTCTGTAGTGCTGGGATACAAATCAAGAATCAACACCGGAGATGTGGTCAAAATACTTTGGGGTAGTACAATGCACAAGTTTATCCTGAAGCTACTGTTGATTATATTCACCTAAGGTGTTAAAGCTGGTTCACACTGTTGCAACCGACTATGACCAAGTTGAACAAAACAGGGTGTTAAGTTGCTTACGAATAACATTGCTGCTGCGCAGCACGATCATAAGCTGTCACAAGAGGCTTGAAGACTGGTTTTATCAGACTCAGTCCTAGCGGGTAGCAACAGTGTGGACCAGCCTTTTAGACTAAAATTATGCCCAGCACTGGGTTTTGGACATGGTTCCAAAAATGCTTTAAGAGACTCCCTTCAACTTTAACAGAACCTCAAGTATTTAAAAGTTGAAGTAGGAAGCCTTCACATTCAAAGCTGGATCTCCTTGATTTGAATGTGTCTCCACTGTACAAGCGAGAGCGCCTGGCAGGTATGGGAGTTGGCTTGTGGCTGTCCCTATTCGCACACCGAGTGTGGATAGTGGTGGATTCTAATCCGCCCTCCGAGTGTGAATAATTTTGGATTCTTATCCGCACTCCGAGTGCGGATTGTGTTGGATTCTTATCCGCACTCAAAGTGTATGAGTAGACTCTATACTCCGTTTCAAACATCGCGTGCAACGCTGGGAAAGCTACTGAAGTAGTGCGCATGAAAAAACACAAAAAATTGTGTTACTCCGCGAGATTTCGTGGACGAGCGGTACAAGCAACCGGCGGACACTTCGAGCGCCTTCCGGTTAGCTATTTCAGCGCCATCTCTTATCCGTTGGTATTCTATTAAGTCTTTCCGGTTTACGCCGGGAAGTTTATTTAATAGGATGAGATACATATTATTGTTGCTACTTACAAATTTCAAAAATTATCCTGGTAAGATGAAACAAATATCTTGGTTAGCTAAAGTTTCGCCCTCATACTTTGCTCTCATTGGCCGGTTGTTTTTTGTATTTTGACCGTTGAGAACAGTTGCGCGTCGGCTGCCGCGCTCGCGGATGCGTCGGCTGCTTGGCGGCGCCTGTGCCAGCGGTACGGTGGTGGTTTTCGTTTGCGGCAGCGGGCTACCAGTACACAGAGCAAACGAAACCTTGTTCATTGCTCGACTCAGTGGTGCTCTAATTCCAGTGGCAACAGCTCTGCCAAGTTCTTTGGGTTTCCGATCGAGTGACGAAAGGTAAAGACGGGCTGCTATACTTTTGGTTATACAGTTTCGGATTGCCGAAAACTTGCTGGTGCATGTTTCTTTATGGAAGAGTTATTGTAAAGGGTCACAAGGGACAGCGCATGTATCTTAAAATGAGCGAGAAACCCCGGCGATCGAATCACTGTCGCTAACTACCGCAAAGTTAATGTGTGATTGCAGGTCTGTGAATACTTGAATAGTAGTTTCGTGTAGATTTTGTTACTTTGTTGTGCTGTGCAGTGAACGTTTTTTTTTTCTTTGTATAACGAGCGTGCCTAATAAAAAGAGAACTTGCAAAAGAAGTTCGGACTTGTGCGCAGACTGGCGATGTGCGCCCATCTTAAGCCGCTAAAGAGCAGCGGCTGGGCGTGCTTTGCATTCATTTATTGACAATTTTATGAGAACTGGCTGTCACTGAACATGCACTGTTGCTAAGCCGATCTCAATCGAGCGAGGCAAAGTCAAGTGCAATTGTTTCGGAAGCGTCGGACATTCGCAAAAAAAGGTAAACACACTTTTTTTGTTCTAAAAAAAGATTACATTGTATTGTAGAAGAACGAGACGGCGGCAATGGGAGCAGTTCCCTCTTCTCTCAACATCAGCGACAATAAGATGCAAATTCGTTCGGAGTTCGGAGGCTGCTCCGAACTCCGAACGAACTCGCATCTTTTTGTCGCCGAGGGTGAGAGAGAGGGAGAGGAGGGAACACACTACTCTCACCCTCTCCCATAACCAAGCGGTTGCCATGACGACGGTGCGCGTATTGTTTTGTCTATTTGTTATTTCTTTTGGAGAAACCCAACGCCCGTTAGGGGAGATTTGGCGCTGCCGTCTGCAATTGGAGTCCCAATGGGAGGTATACGAAGAGTCCGCCGGTTGGTACAAGGCGCTGCTCTTGCGATGCCGACATCTCGGTGGCGGTGGTTCGAATCCCCTTAGGGCGAAAAGTTTTTTTTTGTTTTTTGTTTTTTTTTTTCTCGACCGATTTTTTGTGCAAGATTGTGCGTATTGCGGAAGTGCATATTTCAATTCCTCTTTTCTTGTTGATTTTATTTATAAGAAGGTAGACTAGGGGCTGGTGTTCCGCTCGAACTTGCGCCGGCCTCGTCAAAACGGAAGAACGGTCGAGATCCAGGGCGTCTCTATTTAAAGCCGTTTATTAACATGGTAGCGTGAAAATCAGAGAGTACCTTGAGAGTGTGGTGGACGGTCCTTTATATAACGAATATTGTGATTAGGGGACCGCACTGCCATTGTTCAGACGGCTTGGCATTCCCTCACGTGATGTGACTTCATGGAAGTTTCCTTCAGAGTCAGAATACTCGCCGGTGTATGGAAGAAGTCATCCAGACGGCAGTATCTCGGTGCTCTGGTACCGGCGCGCCCATGAACCGGGAGTGATTCACAATAGACGCGTACACAACACACGGCACTCGAGATCAGGATCGAGTGTTGTTTCCTTTTCGAGGAAAGCAGGGGCCTCGGAATACAGACACGGGCATGAGCGTCGTTTACTTAGCCGACCAAGGTTAAGGTGCCTCAGGCAGACGGAGCCGACCATGGTTACGGTCCCGCAGGCAGAAGAACCCAGACGCTTCGGAATGCAATCACGGGCACCGCCTGCTGTAAGGTCCCCCAAGCAGACGGAGCCGTAGGCACGATTCATCACCGACACAGTTCCTTCTTGACGCCTGTTTCACTTTGAAGCAATAAGGCCGATTTCAACACCAGAAACAACAGGTGGCAGTTCACAATACTGTCCGCGTGCTCGGAACTTTCACGTTGCGAGGTCTTCGCTTCGGGGACGCCACCTTGCCAGACACTCCGGTGTCGTTACTGACCGTCTCCAGGACCTCACGGACCGACGTCTGCGGGAAACACGTTCTTGAACTCGCGTACACGTTGGCGATCACCTGCTTGCACTTTTGCGAGATCTTCACACAACGAATCTTCGAAAATATCCGAGCAGGAAAGGAAAGCTTCCCGCGTAGACGCCATCTTCACGAAACCGGCGAGGCAGGGGCAGCCGCACAACCCGAAAACCCGAAGCGAGTGCGAGTGCCGCACGAACGAAAACGGAAAATAATTTGGAGTGGTTTACATTATCTTCTCCTTTTTATTGAAAAAGAATCGGTGTTCCCTCGAAATCATAACGCCACTATTAGTTACTAGCTACAAAGATGTACACTTTTCGACTTTTTTTTTTTTTTTTTCAGGGGCCGCACTATTTTGTGGAGCGAACGTAGTCGCGGTCGGCTGTGCAAACCGGCGCGCTAGCTTTGACTACGTTGCACGCTATGTTTGAAACGGAGTATAGTGTGAGTGTGATTGCGTGCGGAGGCGCGGACGCAGTACGGGGGTACTAGGAGATTAGGGTACGAAGGCGTTGGCACGAAGCCGGTGAGTGTGTTGGATTTTATTTATCTGCACTTCGCGTGTGGTGCGATTTTGTCGCGCTGTGAACAGAGTGGTTTAGAAGTTCTCAACTTTGTGTTGTGAATGACACTGGCCTTGAGCCTCGACGAGTTTATAAAAAATATTGGTGGTTCTGGTTTCACAATTATAATAATTTCAAGCAAATGTTTTTGCTTCTATTAAAACAAAATTAATTAGCATTGGGTGGTGCACTTCAGATTAAATGGTACTCACGCCACGGGGATCGGACACAGGCGATCAATGTATGTGTATGTTGCAGGGGGAGGGAGGGGTTAGGGGAAAGGGATGGGTATCTTGTACCCACTCCAAAACTTAGAGAATCCCAAACACATCACCCCACCCCCCCCCCCAAAAAAAAAAGGAAAGAAAAGAAAAAAAGTTCTGGCGATAATTTTTTTGTAGGGTTAAATATTTTTATCAACGAAAGAAAAAAAAGAAACTAGAGCAGCCTGCAATTTCTGACGTGTATTGTCTTGTGCTTAGGTGATGGGGGCAGTGGCATAGGAAAGGGGGGGGGGGGGCTGCAGGAAAATCAGTCATTTCCAGTAAACAATATTATTAAAAAAAGAACCCCCCTTTCCTATGCCACTGCCCCCATGACCTCAGCACAATACTATACACGTCTTTTGAACATTTTCAACACTACTAGATGAGGGAATGCTTGAAAAGTCCCTGGCATGGGCGTACCAACCGGGGGGGCAAGGAATGTGTTTTGCAGCCCCCCCTCCCCCCCCCCCCCCCCTTAAACAGCCGCCACTGGGCAGGGCAAACACTGGCCGGCGGCGCCGAAGGGATACCAAGGGCACCGCCCCCCCGGCTCGGGGGGGGGGGGGGGGGGGTGTCGTTTGCCCCCTCACTCAAAAACAAGTTGGTACGCCACTGGTCCTCGGCCATTTGTTACTGTAGATTTTTTTTTTAATAGAATGATGTGCACATTTGTAAGTAGACGATAGATGTCATGGCTGTTTGGGTGCGGCAGCAGCGGAAGTTTTGAACATCTGTATGTGTGTGCGTGGGGGGGGGGGGGGGGGGGGAAGCAATTGCATCTTGAAAATTGTTTGCTTGCCGCCCCCCTCCCCCTTCCTACATTACTGCCCCCACCAGCTAAGCACCACAGAATGTTAATGTGCTGACCATGGCAAAGCTTCCGTTTTCGGAGTGTGAAAAGGGACAGCCGTGCGAGTTTTCATTGCGAGCTGTCCACTATACAAGCGAGAGCACCTGCCAGGTGTGCGATTGTTACACTGCAACTTTCTTGAGCATTTTAATCAAATCGTATAACCTATATCTTGTAAACACTGATATGGGGAACGCTAAAAAAACGAACAAACATCTCAGGGTTTACAAGATGTCGATTAATTACCAGCTCGCCTGCACTCTATCACTGCTTACATATAACCTCTTTCCTCAGCCATGTAAAGTAGGTGTGCACCCCCGGGTTCTAGAAGTCACGAATATGACCGGGGTAAACTAAAACGCCATTAAGGCAAACAATAATAATCTTTATTAGCTACAGTAGTAGTACTCTGGGTGGCTCGCAAGGCTAGACATATATGCAGGGCCCGTAAGGGAGAAAACAACGGAAGTGACGAGCTTAACAGGGTCCTGTCAACACTTTTAAGCAACCCTAGGCCCGCGCGCCTAAACACCGACGACACGAAGAGCAGGCCGGCGCGGGGCACACGCCGTACGCGAGCGCTACGACGACGCCCAGCTTGGAGCGTGTTCTAACAACCCGCTGAAACCCGCTAAACGCCAGCACCCCAACCGCGCCATCCCGCTGGACGCAGCTCAAAAGCCAGCGCGCGCTGACCGAGATACGTTGTCGCAAGCGTGAGAAAGGACGAGACGACACGTCAAGTAAAAACCATCCAATTCTTCACGCGTGTCGCCGTCCTGAACACATTCAAGGCGTTCGTTCTAAGATCCGTATCCAAGCGTTTGACAGCACAGCTCAGTTTAGCGCGCCTGGCATTTACAGCGTGTCCGAAGGGCTCGCCGATAGCAACGCGAACTTTCGAAACAATCTGATCAGCGCCTCTGCACTGCTCCGGTATCGCAGAACATTCACGGGATTCTCAAGATAGCGGCTAGCATTTACGCAAGGCTTGAACGAACGGCCTCCACAAGCGATTGCGATCGTTTCCCGAAGGCAGCGAGCATCCCGTAGATAGAAGGCACTGCGACTCGACACGAAATCGCGCAGACCGCTCAAGCGTCGAAAAAGTTAAATATCATCCGAATTACGGTGGCAACGTAAGCTACAGTGCTCGGAAGATCATCCAGCACATGTAGATGATACTCTTCGGGCATGCATTATGAATATGAAATCGAGAAAACTTACCTAAACAATCATTTGACCCACGCACGTTCAAGGTTCAAACAGGCCTTTGTGTGCACGGACGGGACGGAATAGAATCCCGACTTCAGAAGCTGCTTGTGGCTTTGGATTAGGCTTTGGATGGGCTGTGGCTTTGGATCGGAGAAGTCTACGACTGCGGCATATAGTTTCGGTTTCGACCCAACTCTACTGCAGTTTATATTTCGGTGGCCGGTGTCGCTACCGTGGCCAGCCATTACTGGAGTTATCTTGTTCTCTACGCAGTTTGAAGTCAATTGTTTGGGCGAGCAGACATAATGTCCCAGCTTCTTCTCCTGCTATACGTTCCATGATAACATTTGTTTGCTGACTGAAATCTACGTCAACTTATGTGCAAAAAAGAAAAAAAAGGAACGAGGTGTTCGACATCTTAATTTAACTTGATTTTTTTTTATATGTGAGGATATGCAATATCTTAATTAATTATTGGATATTTGTTTTGAGTTTTTATGTTTTGCTTAAAAATTATTTGTATTTCTATTTTTTTTTTTTGTCTGAAGCTTTGGTTGAGTTGCGGGGCTCAGTAACAGCGGGTTATTTTGAGATTTTCTTACACCAGTGACGTAGGTAGAGGGGAGGCGGGGGGAGCTGTCAAGGGAGAGCCCTCTTCCTCCTGCCTCTTTTTCATCCTTGTCCCTCCTCCTCCTCCCTCCTCCCCCTTCTCCTCCTCCTCCCTCTCGCTTGGTGCATTGTGAAGACGTCCCATAATGCAACACGCGCGGCACCGCGGTGCATTATGGCACGTTTCCCATAATGCACCGCGCGGTCACGCCGACGGCGACGCGTCACGCCGACGCGTTACGGCTACCATTACGGTCGCCGTCGGCGTAACGCTTTTAGAGCGCAGCTCTTAGGGGCCCGTTCCCAGCTTGAGCGGCGTCGCCGTCGCCGTCGCCGTCAGCGTAACCAAGGTCATCCCAAGGTCACGTGACCCCCAAGGTCACGTGACCCCTCCAGGTCACGTGGCCCCTCCCAAGGTCATCTCAAGGTCACGTGACCCCACGTGACTCCCAAAGTCACGTGACCTCTCGAGGTCACGTGACCCCTCCCAAGGTCATCGCAAGGTCACGTGACCCCAAGACCCCACGTGACCCTTTGAAGGTCACGTGACCCCCAAGTCACGTGACCCCTCTGAGGTCACGTGACCCCAGAGGTCACGTGGTCTCCTCCCCAAGGTCACGTGACCCCCAAGGTCACGTGACCCCTCCCAAGGTCATCTCAAGGTCACGTGACCCCAAGGTGACCCCACGTGACCCCCAGGTCACGTGACCCCTCTGAGGTCACGTGACCCGAGGTCACGTGACCCCCCTCCCCGAAGTCACGTGACACCACCCCACCCCCCCCGAGGTCACGTGACCGCCCCCCCGGAGCATATTAAAGAATGAGGGGAGGAGGAGGGGTCTACCCTCCCCTCAGTACCCTTCCCTCCTCCTCAACAGCTGCGCTCCAATTCGGCGTTACAGGGATTTGTAAACGGCTTTCATTTTTTCGTTACGCGACGCAAAGGCGTGACGAAAAAGCGTTACGCGACGCTGACGTGTCACGAAAAGTGCTACGCCGACGCATCACGAAAAAGCGTTATGCCGACCCGTTACACGACGCCGAGGTGTCACAAACAAGCGTTACGCCGACGCGTCACGAAAAAGCGTTATGCGGACGCCTTACGCGACGCCAAGGTGTTACGAAAAAGCGTTACGCGACGCCGAGGCCGAGGCGTCCCAAAAAAACGTTATGACGATGCGTTCCACGACGCCTCGGCGTCAGCGTAACGCTTTTTTGTGACGCCTCGGCGTCGCGTAACGCGTAGGCGTAACGCTTTTTCGTGAAGCCTCGGCGTCGCGTAACGCGTATGCGTAACGCTTTTCCGTGACACCTCGGCGTCGCGTAACGTTTCCACGTAACGCTTTTTCGTGACGCGTCGGCGTCGTAACACTTTTTCGTGACGCGTCGCGTAACGCGTCGGCGTCGCCTAACACTTTTTCGTGACGCGTCGCGTAACGCGTCGGCGTCGCGTAACACTTTTTTGTGACGCGTCGCGTAACACGTCGGCGTAACGCTTTTTTGTGGCGCGTCACGAAAATGTGTTACGCCGACGCTTTATTGTTACGCTGAGGGCAACGCCGCTCAAGCCAGAAGCGGACGCCTAAGAGCAGCGCTCGAAGATGAAAGAAACATCAATCAATTCAGGTTTTAAAGTCCGATGCAAATGAGGCAAATCTGCGACAATAAAAAGAAAACGCCCGAGTACAATTAAGGGAAAGACAGAAAGGATGCATACCTACAACAAAAAAATTTAGAACGACCACGGGCAGGAGCCTCTGGTGAGGCTCTCGGAGTGACTTCCTGCAATGGGCCTGCGCAGACCAGAGAACAAGATCGGTCAGAGCTTGCAGCCATAAGGTGCTTCATACCATGAAGTTCCAGAAGTAGCTGCAATTGGAAGCAAAGTGCATTTCATTTCTCTGCAGAATGGAGAGTTTGATAGCTAGTATGCATTCATAAGGTGATACAGTCACGAATGCAGATTTTTCAATGCAGCACTATATCACCGAATTGTTAACCGTGCCGGGCAACACTAAAAACCGAGAGCATTATTCCAAACTATCTCAGTTTAAAGTTAACCACAGCAGAAGCTGCAAGCCATGTGACCTTCTAGTTGGATGCCATGGTACGTTGAGCTTATAATCATGTCTCACACTGTTTTTGCTGCAATGGTTTGTAGTGTCAAAAGTGGTCCAGCTTAAAGAGATGCAAAGTATAGACGTTTGTGAGTGGGGCCCTGACCTAGTCTTCAGCTACATTGCGAGGTAGGACGTTCCAACCGGGATGTTTGCTGCCTGTAACCACACGACCAGCTTGCACACAGCGATTGTTTGAACCGAGTACATGTCCTCGACAGTGCCGTTATTTGACAAGCAGTTTTATGAATGTTAAACATGACTGACTTACAGAGAGACTGCATCTCAACGACTAATGACTTGGGATACCTAGCTGAATACTGATATATTAACTAAATGCAAAACAATTACCTGGCAGGCATTAAATTTTTTAACAGGGTGGGTCGACTCCGCATTAAGTTGAAGGAGTCGATGCGTCAGGCACGTAGCCAGGATTTTGTTTCAGGGGGGGCCCACTCATGACAAAATGTTGTATGAGGGAGAGGGGAGGACCCATGCAAAATGCAAGATTTCGGAGGGGGGGGGGGGGCTGGGCCCCATGGGCCTCCCCCTGGCTACGTGCCTGCGATGCGTAATAGGATAATACAAACAGAAATATGCCTTACAATTCCTTTTGCACCCCCAAAATGATGTGTTTTTAAAGGTAAGATACACATTGTTCTTGATTCAGAAAGTGCCTCAGCTGTACAAATGCATATGCAGTAAGGGCACTCGCCAAGCCTATTCTCCTCATCTCTGTGCAGGTTAAGCTAAGTTAGAGTATAGAAGTACACGCTCACTGACAGCATGAGAAAGGCAGGGAGAAGTCTCCGTTGTTCCACCAGCAGCCCATCTGCTACCTTCGATGACGTTTCAGCGCCTCATGAGCCTGGAGCGAGCACATCTGTCCAAAGTGGGGTGAAAAGCACAAGCACGTGCTAGAGGACGCCCAGCCATTCTCTTTTTGTCATCGGCTATTCTACATATTTTTAGTATGACATATTTTTAAGTGAGAAAAAGTATTGCAAATATGCAGTCCAACTTTGATTATAATACAGAATTCTGATAAAGATAACAGTTGCCATTCACCATTTTCCAAATAAGAGCTCCCATCTATAGGAACATCTACACATGTGGTGCGTGAGTGGGTTCAGGACTGAGAGGCTAGAAAACGAAGCGCTCATAAGGCTTTTCTGGCCCTTCCAACCAAGCGGGTACATTCGTCACAAATCCCCGATTTTTAGACAAAATGATTTAGAATGAGCAAATCTGCGCCTTCCGATAATCCTCCCCGTTCCAAAATGCGATGCTACCTCCGTTTACATGGGCTGAATGAATGCGCACTCGCCATCTCGATCCACCTCTGCCTAGCGGCTTTAATGTGATGCGCTTTCTTTGCGCTTAGGCTGTTGACATGACCGCGTATTGAATGCGACAACTGGGGTCAATGCGACTAAGTCGCATTCATGTAAACGCGACTTATGTTCTTTTTCGACATGTATGGTGTATGTAATGATAACGGTGCTAAACGATGGACATTTTTGTTGGAAGATGGCGGTCGTCTTTCTGCATGTATGATTTGGTTATAACGGTGGTCATGTGGTATAGTGTTTTTGTTGCAAATAGGGCGGTCGCCTACGTCATCGGACGCAAAATCATACCAGCCACACTGGATCACATCGGCAAGCAAACTGGCTGCCACTATAGACAGACCCGAGGCCATAGCGGTGCCGGTATCTCCAGTTATGCAGAACACCAAACCAAACTAGCTATGCGTAATAACAAGAAATTATAGTGGTGTCATACCAGAACTATAAAAGCAACAGGTTTGTTTCTTGTACGTTTTTCCAATAGGGGACCCCGAGTCCGAGAGGCTCTTGCGCAGCCAGGAACGGTACCGAGGCTGGAGCTGCTCGTTCTGCGCTACCATGCAGTGCTCTACAGTGCTCGGGGCTCTCGGTGTCGTTCGTGCTTGCACCGAAGCCTTTGTGACCCCTTCGGACGCGCAAGTCGTACTTCGCAAACGTTTGGACGGGGCCGCCCTCACCGAGCAGCTCCGCTATATTTCGCTTTCTTATGATCGCAATAAAATCTTGGGTTTGTTCTCGGGAAAAAAATTGCAGGACCGCTCTCCGCGCCGCCGATGAGGTTGGCCGCCGCCATGTTCTCATCTGTTCACTCGCTCCCGCATCGAGCGCCTTCCGATAATCCTCCCCGTTCCAAAATGCGATGCGATCTTCGTTTACACGGGCTGAATGAATGTGCACTCGCCATATCGATCCACCTCTGTCTAGCGACTTTAATGCGATGCGCTTTGCGCATTATGCCGTTTACATGACCGCATATTGAATGCGGCAACTGGATTCAATGCGACTAAGTAG